CGCTGCGTCACCGGCACCCGCAGGTGGCTCCCAGCCACCGCGGCACGCCTGGCCCCGCGCTCCCGGCCCCGCCGTCCCGCTCCTGCCCCAGCCCTCCAGCCCTGCCATCCTTCCATCCTCGTCCTTCCATCCCTGGCGCTCCATCCGCATCCCTCCCACTCCATCCCCGTCCCAACCCTCGCCCCCTCTCCAGCTCACCCACCCCCACGACAAACCCCCCAAATCCTGCTAGAGGAAGGCAGTAGAGGGATGAACGAGGCTGCCTGGGACCCCCCCCCACGACAAAAGCGATGGCCCTTGGGCACATGGGGCTGAGCAAACCCCCCGTGCTGGGGGCAAGGCAGGGGGGGAATGGACACACGGTGGTACCCGACCACGCTGCAGCCATCCCGGAGAGCTGTCCCATGGCCCCCCCCGCCACCCACCTGCACCCACGTCGCGCTTCGTGCTGGGTTATCCCCCGATGCTCCCCGCTGGCCTGGGAATCGGAGCCGCCTCCACCGGCACAGCCACTTCTCCTGCTTCTCCGTCAGCCAGGACCACCAAGTCCCAGTTCCAGGGGCCAACGTCCCACCTCTGCCCCGGCCCCGCTGCAGCTGCCTCTGGGAAGAAGCGCCCAGCCGGCTGCGACAGACGGACCCAAGGTACTGCTAGGACTGGGGGGGCATTGGGGGGGGGGGGGGGGGGTGCATTAAGACCACGCACACACTTTATTCCCAGCCACCTTTATTGGATCAGCCGGATAAGTGGGTTAAGGGAATTGGTTTATCCCATTAGGTTGCACTGCAAAGGCCGCCTGCCCGCATCCAGCCTCACCGCCCGGGGCCATGGGATGCTCTGCGGGATGGGCACGGGGACCAGACTGGTGGGGGGGGGGGGGGGGCAGCGAGAGGCACCATCTCCTCCCTGCATCACAACAGCCTCCCTCAAACCCTCGCCACTGCCGCGGGGCTGCTGGCTCCAATGGGGGTCCCAAATGGGTGCCCCTGCGGTCCCATCCTGCCCCGTGCATCCTCCTGCCAGATGCAAACACCTGGCCCCACTGGCATTCGCACAGGGGGCCAACCTGGTCCCCAACCGTGCTGAGGATGGAGGGACAGGGAGCGACCCCCCCCC